CTTGACCCCGACTCCCAACCTGGCTCCGGGCAGAGCAGCCCTGAGCACTGGCAGGAATGGCAGGTGCCAGACAGCTGGCCTAGCCTGCCCTGGGTTGTGGAGGGCCAACAGCCACCCCTTGGCCATGGGGTGGTGAGGTCAGCTCCAATACCAAAGAGTCCAGGAGGAAGCAGAGAAGACAGGGGTACTGAAGCAATGACCACACAGCTTCAGCCAGGGCCCCTTCCTCTGCGTACTCAGCCTTTCAGTGGGACCAAGTCTGAGCTATTTCCAAGGGTGACGAGAGCCTGTGTCCATTACACACCCTCCCGGATGCTCTAGTACTGCCTCTCTGTCTCGCTGCCTGCACCCCGCATTCACTCCCAACAGCCCAGAACCCATTTACGTCCCACTTCATACACACACCAAGACCTCCATCTAGAGTGGTATTTGGCAGAAGGTCCTGTAGCTAGTACTCAGCAGACACTGGGCTTGAACCAGATCCAGCCGTCTCTGAACCCTGGTTCTTGTCTCTTGGTCATGCTGTTCCTCAAAAGAACAGGACTTCCAAGAAAGCATCCAAGCCTTCAGGCCTGGGCCTGGCCCCTGACAAGGGGAACAAAATGGTCTTTCCCTCCTGTCTCAGAGCGTGGGTGCCGCCCTTCTCCAGGTTAACTCCATCTTCGAGCCTGAGACCGTTACTCCACTTGCATTTCTTAAGTGTGAGCCTGTTTCACATTATCGTGGCCTAAAGGAACAGTAAATGGAGTGGAAAGAGCCTCCACATGGAAGCCTTCCAGCAACTTCGCTGAGGATTTATTTTACAAAGTGCAAATGCCACCAATTATTTATGTGCGTGTTAATTGTTGGCCACTTATCGAGGCACCCCCACACTGGGAGCTGGAGATAATAAAAGCTTGTCGGCAATTAGCATCTTTTTAAAACCCCAACTCCAACATTTGAGAACATTCCCCCCGTGGAGCCGAGGGCCTGGCATGTTCCCAAGGACAGACCCTGAGCTAACTTGAAAGCCCACCACTGCCTTGAGGAGCACACCACTGAGGAGCAACCCTCCCTGTGCAATGTCACCCCTCCAAAGAGCGAGGGCATGCAAAGCCGCCATTCACAAAGAAGGGGAGCATCTGGCTGCAAGTCAGGGATGATGTGACAAGCCCCGTTTCAAGGAAGTCAGCAACACAGCCCCCACGATCCCCCACGCCAGAAGCTGTGCCCAGAACCACAAAGGAACCGTGGAGAAAGTTACGGCTGAGTCATCTTGAGCCGATCCGGCCTCCCAGCGTCCTGCCTTCTTGAGAAAAGGGCCCAAGACGCTGGCCCAGCTACTGCTCCTGTTTACCCAGTTTGTCTCCAGAACCATTTTAGTCTTGCTTTTTCTTAATGAAAAACTGCCCTGAAGTTCCAGGTCTTCCATGGCTCCGCCTGCGGCTCCATCCCCACTCCAAGCCCCGCTGGAAACCTCAGACGCAGGCAGATCTCTTTTTCAATGTCTTCCCCTGGCCCCTTTCCAGGAGCCAGCCTCTCCTGACCAAGCGAAAACCATCTGCTCCCAACTCACCCAGGTCTCTCTGGAACGCTCCTGAAGCCCAGGGCCCTCACCTGTGGTGGGGACAGGAAATGCACTCGGGCCCATGGCAGGGTGGGAGGGGAGACAAGGCAGTTCCTCCCAGCTCTGGCAAGGCCATCCAGGGAAGGTGGGATGGAATTTCCCTTTGTCGTTTCAAATCACAGTGCTGGGGTTGCTAAGAGGGCCCTTTGGCTGAGGTGGGGCTGAGCCAGTCTCCAGCTGTTCAGGAAAGGCCCTGGCCAGAAAGACTAAGGGGAAAAGCTGGCTACAGGTAGGGGGCAACACTGGCACTTTCGGACACCTACCCTACCCAGACTGAGCTAAACCTCTACACACAGTCCCTCCTGAGTCCTCACTGCAGCCTTCTGCAAGAGGTTTCTGAGTGGCTGTCCCCAGACAAGGAAACTGAGGTTCACAAAGCCCTGCAAGTTGATGTAACCAGATCTTCAAAAGCAAAGCTCACGTACCTTCTACTGTGTACCTAACCTTAAGAGAACAAAGCAGAGTCAGCAGGTGACATGCGGGTAAGGCACTGGACTCCCACATGGCTTACCATGGTTTGAGTTCTGGACCCAGAGACTTGAAATTCATGCCAGACGCATGTGCATGCATGCCCAAAATTCCAGGCAGAGAATGGAGAAGAAAGGACTGCAGTATGGTCATCCCTCTGTGGGGAGATTTCTCACTGGCCCGCTCACTGTTTCTCTCTGTCTCTCAAGAAAAAACATGCACCTTATAGCAGGTCCCAGGTCTTCCATGGCTCCCCCTGCGGCTCCATCCCCACTCCAAGCCCCGCTGGAAACCTCAGACGCAGGCAGATCTCTTTTTCAATGTCTTCCCCTGGCCCCTTTCCAGGAGCCAGCCTCTCCTGACCAAGCGAAAACCATCTGCTCCCAACTCACCCAGGTCTCTCTGGAACGCTCCTGAAGCCCAGGGCCCTCACCTGTGGTGGGGACAGGAAATGCACTCGGGCCCATGGCAGGGTGGGAGGGGAGACAAGGCAGTTCCTCCCAGCTCTGGCAAGGCCATCCAGGGAAGGTGGGATGGAATTTCCCTTTGTCGTTTCAAATCACAGTGCTGGGGTTGCTAAGAGGGCCCTTTGGCTGAGGTGGGGCTGAGCCAGTCTCCAGCTGTTCAGGAAAGGCCCTGGCCAGAAAGACTAAGGGGAAAAGCTGGCTACAGGTAGGGGGCAACACTGGCACTTTCGGACACCTACCCTACCCAGACTGAGCTAAACCTCTACACACAGTCCCTCCTGAGTCCTCACTGCAGCCTTCTGCAAGAGGTTTCTGAGTGGCTGTCCCCAGACAAGGAAACTGAGGTTCACAAAGCCCTGCAAGTTGATGTAACCAGATCTTCAAAAGCAAAGCTCACGTACCTTCTACTGTGTACCTAACCTTAAGAGAACAAAGCAGAGTCAGCAGGTGACATGCGGGTAAGGCACTGGACTCCCACATGGCTTACCATGGTTTGAGTTCTGGACCCAGAGACTTGAAATTCATGCCAGACGCATGTGCATGCATGCCCAAAATTCCAGGCAGAGAATGGAGAAGAAAGGACTGCAGTATGGTCATCCCTCTGTGGGGAGATTTCTCACTGGCCCGCTCACTGTTTCTCTCTGTCTCTCAAGAAAAAACATGCACCTTATAGCAAAAAAAAAAAAAAAAAAAAATTTAGAAAAGTGAGAAGACAAAGTTCACCCTGGTTTTCATAGGTTGGTGCAAAGGCAATTGTGGTTTTGGGCCATGAAGTTTAAATCATTATAAGTAGGTTCAAAGATACCTTTCATAATCACAATAGGAACCATTGCAGTCAACAATCAACACACGTTTGCCAATGAGAAATAAGTTTGTTTATTCCTATAGCACAAAAATCCATGCTTCAGGGGTCGACAATTTCTTGGAGAGCACCTTCTGCACCCTGCTGGTTGTGGACGCGTTTTCCCTGCACAGCGTCATCACGATGCTTGACGAAGCGGAGGTGGTGGAGAGAGGGCAGACCGTGGCGGCCGAGGCCAGCCCCGTGGCCCGTCTGCTCTCCGTGCAAAGCCTTGGTCGTGTGATGGGCGGGCGTCGTCATGGGAGGGACCGGCCTTTCTGCTGTCCGGGCCAGCTGCAGGCATCAGTGTTGCATGCATCTCGCCGATTTGTGAGCACGCTTCTCACAGGGTGGGTTCGTGGGGCTCAGGCAGCTGCGGTGGGTCAGACCCACCAGACAGGCATGGCCTCATTTTGGGACAGCGCTGACTTTGGGAAGTGCTTTGGAGCGTCTTCTCGGTCCGGCCACTGAGCTGGTCATCGCCGGTTGTGTGAAATCCACTTTTCCTCGCGTGTCGCCATCTGATCGAGAAATGGTTCGTTGTTGTATAGAATGAGGGAAGACAGTGTTTCGAAATGACGAGTTTTTACGTTTTCGGTCAGTTCACAAGGCACCCGCCTAACCCAGCTTTTCACCTTCCCAGTTTCCCTCAAATGCGGAATGAACGCAGAAGGTCGACGTTGGTTCCTCAGCAGCTTCTCGTGTAGCTGTAAGGGGGTCGGCTTCGGTGACTGCTCCCAGCTGTTCACTGCCAGCTCCGATGGCCGGTCACCACGCTCCTCTTCCAGGCTCTCGTCTCCCTGTAAAACCCCTTGCACCCCCTCTGCACCGTACACTCACAGCAGCTGCTGAGCCAAATACGTGGGTGTGCTGTGAGTTGTCTCCGCTGCTTTATGACTCGAATAAGAAAATCACTCAAATTTGCTTTTTGTTTAACATCATTTCTATAGTCTAAAATACATACAAAATAAACAGCAAGTAATAAGTTTTACCTCTCAAAAAAAAAAAAAA